TTGTCCATGTCCATTGGTTTGGCTTATATACATGTATACAAGTCCTTTGGTTGATCTCTTCCCCTTACCCCCACCCTCCCCTACTTTCCTTCTGGGGATTGATCAGGCTCTTATTTTCTATTAAAAAACTCATACACTAGCTCACTTACATGTATCAAGTGAATTAAGTCCAATTGATCTGACAGCTAATTGTTATAAAAATAGGTGACCCACTAACAAATTTATCTGGCTTCTGCAATTTAAGACCTATAGTCTGCCCTCAAAAAATGCAGTATATGGCATTCTACCCGTGCTTTGCCTTTTTGATACTAATCATTTTTAACCTTCAAATGTACTTACCCGGGCCTCTATTTTTATTCTATAGGCGGTGGTGCCCAGCTGGATTTTGATACCCTGTGGGGCAATGACGGCACAGCCATAGCTGCCTTTATGAATTACTTAGAAGTACAGGGGGGCCTGGGAGAACCCGAGGACTTCAGCGACATCCCCTGGACCCTTTAGCATTTGACTTTTAACTCCAAAAATGGGAAATGTCTTACAGCATTTCCTTTACAAAAAAACTGTATGTTCTTCTGTACTGCATCGATACTCTTTTTATCATTTATTCTTATGAAGGTTCTACCAATTTTTATATATTTGCACCTATTTCACAGGTGTCTGGGGAAATGAGATGTTTTTCTTCAAATAGAACTGCTCGGAATCTGCTTCAGGCGCCTTTACTCAGCCAACTGGTTTTAAACCCACTAGCTGCTATTTTTTGCTAAAATATTTCTGACTAAGAGTATCACATACATCTTGCTTTGGTTTTGTTTTTATTTTTTTGATGCAGTTTTTTTGAGTTTGAGAATTTAATATGTTGGCATTTTGGTGGGGGGGGTCTTAGATTCATTTAATTGACTTATAATAGATTTGTGTAATTTGGAACATTTCCATTTCTTGTATATTTCCTTAATTGAGGACAGGGCTTATGTATTTTTTAAGAAAACAGTGAGTACTTGAACATTTAAAGGGACAATGCAATTGATAGTCATGATCACAGTGACTACTATGTTTAGTGTTTGTAGACTTGGACAAGCAGAGAGCCAGGATATTAATGCCCAGTTGAGCACTTTGAGGCGGATGTTAAATGAGATGATTTTTATTTAAAACTCAGAAAAAGAAAAGTTGAGACGCTTTCAACTTTGCTTACAGAACAGGAAAGATTCTGGGCCCCAGATGCTGGTGATTAATTTTTGCATATTTAATCTTAATGTAACCACTCAAGATATACAGATAGAACAGGTTTTCTATGTTGAAAAGGTATGTAGTAACTGATTATCTTAGAGGAAGGAACAGGCCCAGGCAGATTAAATGTTTTGTGTAAACACAATTAAATTTATATATTTTTTAAATGTGTACTGTGTATAAACCAGTTTCTTTTTACATACTTGCGAAAGCAGTGGGCTCACTGGTTAAATGATTAATTAACTGATCCCAAGAACTAGTTGTGGCCTTAAAGATTATTAAGCAGTTAGAGTTACTATTTCATGTAACCAAAGGCAGTTATATACCTGGTAACTACCTGAAAACTATGAGGCAATGAGAAAGAATTTAAAAACCAATTTTCTAGCTATAATTAAAAATTTGGAGAGCATTAATCCAGAGGTGGCTCAAAATCGAGTGCAAGAATTAAGAATATTTAAAGCACTATAGCTACATCTACCATTTTGAAGATCACATTTGTATATCACCTTTTTAAAAAAATATATTTTATTGATTTTTTACAGAGAGGAAGGGAGAGAGATAGAGAGTTAGAAACATCGATGAGAGAGAAACATTGATCAGCTGCCTCCTGCACACCTCCTACTGGGGATGTGCCCGCAACCAAGGTATATGCCCTTGACCGGAATCGAACCTGGGACCTTTCAGTCCAACACTCTATCCACTGAGCCAAACCGGTCAGGGCTATCACCTTACATTTTAAGAGCTCTTTCTAGTTTACCAAGTAAGTTCCCATATATTGTCTCTTGTGCCCCACACATGAAAGTAAGATAGGCTGGGAACCTGGTGGGGAAACCCTGAGGCTCGGGTGTAGGGTTCAAATCCAGTTTTCTTTCTCTAGATGGTTCTATCCCTTTCCAGCTGGCTGCCCTGAGCCTCTCACCATAACAAAGCATCATTTTGATCTGGCCCATTTCTTTTGCTGTGAGTACTAGATCGAACTTTTGTCAGGTGTGCCAATGGCATTAACCAAAAGCGGATGTTCCCTTCAAGCGCGATGACTGCAGTGGCTCTGTGGACAAGGGCATATTGGTACATTATCCTCTTGACCTGACCCAATGCTCTAGACGTGTCAAAGGGTTGGCACCACTCCTGGACTTCAGACAGGCAGGTTTAGAATAAGCCCAAGAAACCCTATGAGATGGGGGGAGATTGGTTTGAAGCAGCCCAAGCACGATTTGTTAAGTCTGAGGAAGCATGAGCGATCACATCTGTTCTCTTAAGTTGTGCAGATGGACTTGCCTTACAAACTTAACACTTTAGCCGTCTGAGCTCTGGCAGGTTAGCCTTGGCCTGCAGAGTTGGCCTAAGCCAGGGGTTGCAGGTTAGGTCATTGTGGCTGGATGGCCTCAAAAGCAGATGGGACAAACCATGGTGGATCTGAGAGGCAGAGTTTCTAGAGGACTTATTCCATAGACCAGTTAGCAGATAGCCAGTTGGATGCTTTGATACTTTAATAACCCACTCTGATGTTTTTCTGTAGATCTTTTTGCCCTGGACCCAGAATCCAACCCACATGTATGACACTATATAGCTCTCTCAAGTGTAGTGGGTTTTTTTTTTCAAACCCAGTCTGTTTGCATTTGATTGCTATTACGAGTGGCAGATGTTTATATGTCTTACTCAATATTACTTTGTCTCCTACCAATTTCTTGAATCTTGGTTGAAAATCTCTATACATTGGATGAAAGCAATGTGTGTGTGTGTGTGTGTGTGTGTGTGTGTGTGTGTATGTGTCCCCCTAAGAATTACCTACAGTGAAGTAGTGAGGGGGGGAGTGCCTAGAGTCAGAAGAGCCCACTCCGCCTAAATTTAGCTATGTGACTGCAAGTAAGCCATTTAAACTCTCTGTACCTCAGTTTTCTCGTTTGTGACAAGAAATTTGATCTCCGAGTTTACTTCCAGTTCTGATTCTGAGATTCTGATCCTTAGGACGTGAGCATTAGGGTCAGACTTAGAACTGTGCGGTCCCGTGTGATAGGCACCAGCTACCTGTGGCTCCTGAGCACTTTAAATGTAGATTTCAATTGAGATGGGCTGTAAATGTAAATTTCATAGCATACTTCAAACAGCATAAAAAGAAATATAAAATATATTAACAATTTTATATGGATTCCATGTTCAAATCATATTTTGGATATATTGAATTTAATGAAACATTAAATTTTTACTTTTGACTTTTCTAATGTGGCTATTAGAAAATTTTAAATTTCACATGTGCCACACATTACATTTCTATTGGACAGCTCTGCTCTATAATATTTTATTAAGTGAATATTAACTGAAATAGACCAAAGGTTATACCATGAATATGATTATTTACCTCTAAATGCTGTGGTTTAAAAAACACAATTGCGTATTTATCCTTGATTTATTACAAATAACTGAATCTCTATCCATGTATCAAATTTAAAACTTTTTAAAAACAGGTAAACTTGAAAATTTGATCAGATATTTCATTACAGGATGATCACCTGAAATCAAATCAAATAAAAACTTGAGATATATGTTGACACTGTATGGTAGTAACTAAATTTGGAAATCCATTGAGAAATCAGAAGACAAACAGAACAGTACAGACCAGAGACTTTTGGAGAATAAATGGGATTAAAGTATTTAATTATAGTGTTACCTTGGGGGAAGGCTGTATTTATGAGTCATGTTCTCTGAGGAATCTCTGTAGAGTCAGGGGCACAGGGAAATGAAATAGCCACTATCTAGTTGCTGGACCATCTTTGGTGGTGCCATGTCAGACCCCGCTCTAAAGAGGTCTGAGCCACTCAAGCAGGTCATTGTTGGGCTCTAGAACTGGAGATTCAGATATGCCAAGCAGGGTCTCATGGGCAGAGCAAGGCTGACAGGAAAATCAGAAGCCATAAAGAAAAACTGCTAAGCGGCCACTAGGTGTCACTTTCCCATTTCTAGAGTGTTTTGTTTTCATTAGGTTAATTTTTCCAAGTACCATGGGGCTTAGGAGAGGCATTTATGTCTTTTGTGTCTAGAATACGTCTGCCTCTCTGGTATGAGTTATTTCATGAGAAATGCTTGTTTAGAGAAGATTCTTCCCACATATTATAAGGACTTCGGTTCAGGGAGCTTTCCAGATGTGGCCCTGGTAAAATGCTGGCCTTAGAAAGAAAACGCATCCAACCTAGAATATGCTTTCTGAATTCATGTGAGAGTGTATGGTACGTGTGTTACTGCTCATACATTTTTGAGCTTAGGTTTGTCTTTTATACCGTTTTTAGCTTTTTTCCAGTTCACTCGTACTTCTCTGTATATTGGTATTTTTAAAATTTTGTAGTCAATAATGAAAAGAGTGAAATTAAACTATATTTTATAACAATTACTAGTTTGGAGTTTTTTATTTGATATATTCAAGTTCCTCCAAAATGTTGTATCCCTTAACTGCCTTTATACAGTGGAAACAGACTCCATTGTTCTCAAACCACTGGGCAGAGAGGTACATCGAACTACATCACTATATACAATTGTGGGTGTGTTCATCAGGCTGTGCTAACTGCTAAACAACTCTAAAGTATCAGTGGCTTCCCCAGTCAACTTCCTTTCTGCTCACACCTCAGTCCAGTGTAACCAGTACTGTCTCTCTGTCTCCTTCTCCCTCCCTGCCTCTTCCTCTTTCCGTCTCAGCTTTGCTTTCCCCTAAGCTGGTTTTATCCTCTGGTGGACCTTCTTCCTCATAATGACATTCAGAAGCTCCCAGCACATAATTGCTCTTCTACCTGGCAGTCTCAATGCAAAGAGCTTTTTTGTTTCCTAGTAATTCACATAAAGATGTGCATTGATTGGGCCTCTGGGTTAACTTGGGTCATGTGGACCGTCTTGTGGTCAGCAGGCTAGAAAGTACAGATTGGCCAGGCTTTGGTCACATGCCCACACCTGGATTTAAAGGCATCCCCGAAAGGGAAATCATGTGAAAAATAGCCAACTCCCTGACAGCCTAGGGCCAGGGGAAGGCATGGTGATGGAAACTTGCAGTGTGTCATAGTTGATGATTTCCTAAGGTTGTGGGCTTAGGTATGTGGGTCTCTAGTCTTTTTGTTTTTGATTGTTTTATGTGGAGGTGGAGAGGAGTAGCAAGTTATATCACACGTTTTTAACTGTGGGCACCTTCTCTGTGTAATATCTAGTCAGTAGTCACCTTGAAGGACTCTCCATTGCTTGAGGTAAGTATGCGTAGAGAGAGTCAGTAAAAAGTTGTCTTAAATCCTATCTAGGTATGTGTTTCTGGCATTTGATTTGTAGTTCTCTGAAAAATGTTACTTTATTTTGGAATTTGGTCTCCATGAATTGTTTACATTTTAATAGTTAGAAAACAAGAATGTTTTAAGACTATTAGTACCACAGCTTCAAACTAGGAGTGAAAATTTCAAGAGCGCGAGGAGAAAGGAAATTCTACAACACTGTCCTATTTTCTGTGATTATTGTAAACCAAAATGATTAAAAATGAACGAATGAGTAAACAAAAGGGATGATGCCATTGTTAGTGGATATCTAATAGTACCTTATACAAATGGGGAACATGGCCACTCAGGCTCACCACGTAGAGCTTGACTGTTATTTTAACTCTAGATTTTAATGTGTTTATATAGATACAGTTTTGGTGAGCATTCATTAAGTGGGTCCTTTTCAGCAGATCATAGTTAATAAATCAAGTCATTAAAAATCAAAGCACCAGTTGCTGGGAACATGCAAGGTTGCAATACAGGGTTTGGCTTGATGTTTTTCCTTCTAAGATGTGTGTTCACAGGAATACCTGTTAGAAGAACTAAATCCAGCTTTTCTCTAAAAGAGTGACATACTATATAGTGTGGAAACATACAGAGCCAATTTCTTAAATATAACCTAACCTGGAAACAGAACTCATCAAAATAAATGTACAAGACTGTCAAATTACAGCGGGAAGGCTGGGGAGTGATGGGGAAGGGGGGAAAGAGATCAACCGAAGGACTTGTATGCATGCATATAAGCACAACCAATGGACACGACACTGGGGGGTGGGATGAGGGCATGGGAGAGGGGGTAGGGTAGGCTGGGGAAAGGTCAATGGGGAAAAAAGGAGATATATGTACTACTATGTGTAATACTTTAAACAATAAAAAATATATAAAT